ACCAGCACGGCAGTATCTCGATCAGAGATTAAAGAAGAATATGGCTTGTTTAATGAAGTTTTTGCATAGTGCACTCAAGTTGCAAAAGGAAACAAAAGGAATGGGAGATCGGCGATTCCCTGTATGCAACTTGCACAAGACTTGAAAGACATCATTCAAACGGGACGCATTGGTCAGTGGCCCACTACACGCGTCCTCAAAGCTCTGGCTCTAAGTCTACGGTGTGGGGTGTAAGGCTTAGGAGTGAAGGGCTTCGATGGTGAGACTCTAAAGCTGGTGCGGAGGCGGTGTCCTTAGCAGCTCATCGACGAGTTGTCCAGTCCTGAATCCCGGAAGGCACAGACGGGGGTGCCAAAAAAATGTGCCGGTGTTGATTCCCTCTGGCAAGAAACGCGGGACTTCAGACGGCACACAGGAGCATAAGTTTTGGGACGAAGCTACCTGTAGAGGGGAAACCAAACCGGGGGGGGGTTACGGATTCCTCTGAAGGCTGCCGGTGCACAGGGGTCTCCCGCATGAAGAATCCACATAAACCCAGAAGAATAGGCTTGCAGATAGAGCCCCACAAGCCAAGCCTTCAAAATTCCATAGCCCCATACTCCGAGGCTGATGACTCCTCATTCAGGCTTCAGGGCCTAGGGAATTCAAACTAAAAGCCTAGGGTTCCAAGTATACAAATAATACCTGCATTGGGCCCTAAGATTTGTAAATTTACCTACATTGCGCTATTTGGATCCCTAGGGCAATGCTACGGCCCAATAAGCCTTGAGTCTTAACCTTTCTTCTTGAAGCCTCGCCCTGCCGTCCTTCTCCAAAGCGAGGACCGGCTCCAGCGGCTGCAGGGTGCATAGCGCCACGGCCTAGGGGGCTGGGCATTTAGGATCTCAGTGGCTTCGGGATGTCTGAGTGGGGTTTAGGGTCCTAATGGGTTTAGGGTTTAGGGTCCTAGTGGTTTTGAATGTAGGGCTTCAAGGCTTTGGTCTCGTTCCTTGGAGCTCTGGGCCTTCCATCTTCGGTCTATGACAATTCAAGCTTTGGAGGGCGGGTAGGCCCTGAGGCCTTAAACCTAAATAAAGCCTGACAGGACCCCTGAACCCTAAACCCGTGAACCCTAAACAATCTCTATATATATATATAGAGAGAGAGAGAAAGAGAGATGTAGTTTAGGCTTTTGGGTGCAGGGGTTGACCATTTGTGGGCTCACCCCTCCGTAGTAAGCACTTCCGAAGCACCAAGGGCCACCAAACCACGGGGATTGCTGCAGATTCAGCATCGTAGGCTGCATTGCTGTTAAGGAACTTAATTTAGGTTACTATATGAAACCATATGACGTAACTACTATATATATACACATCATGGTATATTATGTATACATCATGGTAACTTAATTTCAATTCCTTAACAGCAACCCAGTAGAGTGGTGTGAGATTTCTTCCATCAGCAGCAGCTTGATGATGTGATTTGATGATGATCATCACATGCCTACTTTCAACTACGATGATTGACTAGCAAACTGAACGCCAATGATCTCTTGGAAGGCTCCTCGTAACGATCCAAAGTCCGCTCGCCCTTGTTGCAATTCGTACCATAGTTCAGGGGTTCCAAGGTTGTACCTCCAAGGTCGTACCCCTAAAAGGTTTCCCCAACATGGCCTTAATATAACCCTTGTATAGCCCCCTGGGGTCCGTTAAAAAGAACCCAAAACCCAGGGGTACAACTCTAGAGGTTCAAGTCTGAAACTCTTGGAACATCATGTTTTCTGAACCGTTCAAGCTAAACTCTCGACTCCTAAAGCTTAACCCTGAACCCTGAACCACCTAAACTCTAAACCCTGAGTCCTTGCCTGTAAACCCCTCAGCCACAAACTCTAAACTCCTGCCCTTTACCCTTGCCCTCTAAGCAAGTGCCTGCCGCTTCCGCTGAGAAAGCTCAAGGAGCAGCGCGAGCCGGGTGTTCGTGGCGTGAGCGGTGGTAAGGTTTGGGTCAGGGTTCAAGGGTGTAGGGCTTAGGGATTCATAGTTACGGGCTTCAGCGTTTGAAGCTGGCGATTTAGGATCTGGTGCTTGAGGTTTAGTGTGCCAAGGGCTTAGGACTGGTAGGTGACGCAGAAAAGTCATTTAAAAACGGAACCATTTTTTTAATAATTGGGAACTTTATTGGGGCTACTTGGAGTTTAGGGCTTAGGATTGAGTGGTTAGAGGCGTGAGTTTGAGCGTTTTGGGCTTACGATTGAGGAGTTTGGGCCTAGGGGGGATTTCAGATAGGGCTGAGGTTCGGGTCTTAGAGTTCTTCTGTTCAAGGATATGCTGGTTTTCACGAAGATGTACAGTAAGATGTTGCTCAACGAGAACTCACAGGCGGCTGCGCCACCTCTCGGAGCCAAAACGCAACTCGAAGATGGGTGAAGATGGGTGAATCCGACAGACTCAAACCATCAGAAAATGCCTTTGGCCTTGCGGATCCCTCAGCCTTAAAGGCGAAGCCCATTTCCACTTTGGGTCCTTCAACGTTTGACTGTGTTCTTGCCACAATGGATTCAAGTAGCTCATGGTTTTGGGTGACTAGGCTTTGCGGTTTCTTTCATGGTCGAGGGCTTTGGGTATGCTTACTGGTGCTGAAGGGAGACTCGGGGAGTGGATCCCTACAAGTAGCATTCTGCCCTTTGGTCTCAGTAGTGTCCATTTGCTATACAATCATCCCAATATAAACCCTCCACTCCCCGCTACGCACACGAGATCCTGAACGGTTCTGAAATACAGTGGCCTACATGATGGTTTCCTTTAAAGTGGATTTGAAGATACATATGGATACTTAACGATATCTTATAGGGACTAGGGTACAGGGTTTAGGGGCCGAAAGCCTAACCTATCAGGCAGAAACGAATGGAAAAGAACATGGGAAATGGAAAATAGGATTCACAGGGATGTACTGTAGGGGCCTGAAGAATTTCCAATGTAATTTTGAGGTCTATTTGAGGTAGCTTAGAATTGCCATAATTGTCCAAGGAATCTAAGACCATCATTGCCGGGGCTTCGCCATTGAAATTTGCCTTGGGGCAAAGAATGTTGGGGCTTAGGCCTTTTCTGGGATATAGGGTTTCGGGCTTGGGATTTGGGGTTTTGGGAATTCGGGCCTGGGCTGCAAGGGCAACTAAGTACCTTCAGAGATGCTGATCTTTGTTCACGCCGTCCAAACTGGCTTTGATGCACAGAGACTGTCATCAAACGCACTCTGGATGAGCCATGGTCTAAACGTCTAGTATTTCTCTTAATAACCCCAATATAATCCCCAAACAACACCCCTCATATAGCACCCCTTTAAAAACTTTGGACTATGGCTCAGATGACCTCAGAAGCTAGAGGTCAAGCTGGGTTGGCCGTGATGCCAGGCGCCGTCAAATTTGACAAAGTGTGGGACTTGACGATCATCAAGCAGCGTGCCGCACACAATCTCCGTCATGGCATCTGATGGCCATCTTCTTTGCAGAAGGCTGCTTTGGCATTCTGGAAATTGGCTGTGCATGATCGGAACTGCAAACAGAGTCTTGAAAGCAACAAAAATAAAACCGTTTAGCCTCTCACTTGCTCCTTGAGCCTCGGGCCCGTGACCTGGCAAGGTGCAGGCTTCCAAGAGGTCAGGGAGGAAGTGCTACCTCGAAAGGAGCTTGGTAACTAGTTTTCGGGCTCAACCTTGCGACTTGTTTCGTGCCTTGATAGGCGTGATAGGCTCGAAGACTCACAGCAGTGATGAACAAGTATAAGGAACAGACGGTGCAACATGATGATGACCAGTACTGAGAACGCTGACAATACTTACCGTCTCATGACGGTAAGCTCGCGAGTTCAAATGAACACCCCCCTAAACCCTAAACAACCCTAAACCCTAATACCCTAAACCCTAATACCCTAATACCCTGAACTTTAATACCCTAATACCCTAAACTCTAATACCCTAATACCCTACACCCTAAACCCTAAGCCGATGCCATGCTGAGTTGCTCTTGCCCGATCTCAGAGGTTCGAGGCGCTCGTTGCACATTTCGTATCTTGATTCATGGGCCGCAAAGGTAGACCACTGTTGCGACGGTACAGATATGGGTATATGTGTATATATGTATGTGTATATATATAGATACAAATATGGTTTTTACAGGGATAACGGACAAGAAAATGGAGACTACTATGTAGGTTTCCGGATGCTAACAAGGAAATGGGTCATCCCGGCACCGCATAGAGGGGCAGCGCAGGAAGGACAGGTAGCGCTCCTTGCTGTTGAGGCTCCGAAGCCGATTCATCCAAAGAGAACCACTCGCTGGAGGCAAGCACGGAATAAATGGTTGCAACAACATGTGGAGACTAATATGTATGTGTATATGTATATACAATATCATATACATGTACGACTTAGGGTTTATGTTTTAGAGTTCTGCTAGTGTTGGCGGCTGTACAGTGTACAGGGACCACTATAGGGACCTCCATTCCCCGCTGATGATACCAACAATACTGCATGACGCTGGGTACTATGGTATCTTAGGTCATGGAACACAGCTGTAGTGTCAGAAAAATACACAAAAAATGTGATCTGACTTTACACTGAGGGTACATCATCCTCTCAGGTTTCCCTGCTGCACACATCAGCTGGCTGCCGGCCTGTGACTATTGCCGGACTCGCCTCTGGGAACCAGACCTCGCAAGCCGTGAACAACCTTAAACCCTAAGATACCCTAAACCCTAAACCCGAAACGCAAACCCTAAACCCCAAACCCAAACCCTCATTCAATGCCCAAAACCCTAAGATACCCTAAACCACAAACCCGAAACCCTGATTCAACGCCCAACCGGCCTCAGGGATCCCAAAAACTGAGCCCAGGGTTTGGGGCTTATGTTGCAAAATCAAGGGATTCTTAAGGGGTTCCGTTTTGGGATCCTTAAGTGTATATTATGGGTGGGCGTGAAAAGTAGCACGAGGCTCCAGCCAACGATGCACTGTCTCCATGTGTCTCAGACCTTCCCAGCCGCACGATGATTCGTGTAGCAGCTGCAGAACATGCATAACCTTGAACTTTTGGTTGTCTCACAAAGGGAAAAAAAGGCGCCTCCAGCTCCAATGCCCACACATCGCCTCGAGCCGCACCACAGAAGAAACGAGTAGGCACACTGGTAAGCGGCCACAATCACAAAGCTCATCCAGAACTGAAAGTTGTCAGCTCTCCTGAGGCCAGCACTCAATCTTTTACCTAGGCCTTGGCTGACGGTGAGGAGCCGACAACGTAGAGCTGCTTTCAACACCCCGCCAATCAGCAAGCTGAGGGGTCGGACCATCCATCCCGCCAAATATCAGCATGGAGTGGCTCTCGGGATCGTAGATTGCTGAGTGCTCCATTCTTCCGCTTGGAGACGTTCCTGTGGGCTGGAGCTTCTTCCACGCCATGACCTCCCGGCAAAACTTCAACTCACTGCATGGCATCAAAAAGAATGCCAGAATGCAGATCTCTCACATCTGGATTGAAGAATGACAAGACATGACAAGAGCCCTGTTTGCCCACGAATTGAGCAATATCATACCTTTGCCGGTCTGGACATCTCAGAATCGTGGCATCACACCCCTCGCATAATGATGATACAAAGGTACGTGACTTGACACTCAGTTTCACGAAAGCGCACAGTCAGCCTACTGGCGCCCTAGCTTGCCTTCAGGTCCAATGCCCACACATCGCCTCAAGCCGCACCACAGAAGAACCGATTAGGCACACACACAAGCGGCCACAATCACAAAGCTCATCCAGAACTGAAAGTTGTCAGCTCTCCTGAGGCCAGCACTTAAATGTCCGTCCGAGCCTCGGCTGACGGTGAGGAGCCGACAACGCAGAGCTGCTTTCAACGCCCCACCAATCAGCAATCTGAGGGGTCGGACCATCCATCCCGCCAAATATCAGCATGGAGTGGCTCTCGGGGTCGTAGATCGCTGAGTGCTCATGTCTTCCGCTTGGAGACGGTCCTGTGGGCTGGAGTTTCTTCCACGCCATGACCTCCTGGCAAAACTTCAACTCACTGCATGGCATCAAAAAGAATGCCAGAATGCAGATCTCTCACATCTGGATTGAAGAATGACAAGACATGACAAGAGCCCTCTTTGCTCACGAATAGGGAAATATCATACCTTTGCTGGTCTGGACATCTGAGAATCGTGGCACCACAGCTGTCTCATGATGATGTTGCAATGGTACATACGCTGACACTTAAATCGACAGGAAAACGTGCAGTCTGCTGACAACCAACATCTGCTGCCCTCTTTCTGTTGCTGCCTTGAGCTCCAGTGCCCACACATCGCCTCGAGCCGCACCACAGAAGAAACGAGTAGGCACACTGGTAAGCGGCCACAATCACAAAGCTCATCCAGAACTGAAAAGCAGTCGGCTCTCCTTAGGCCAGCACTCAATCTTTCACCTAGGCCTTGGCTGACGGTGAGGAGCCGACAACGCAGAGCTGCTTTCAACACCCCACCAATCAGCAAGCTGAGGGGTCGGACCCTCCATCCCGCCAAATATCAGCATGGAGTGGCTCTCGGGATCGTAGATCGCTGAGTGCTCCATTCTTCCGCTTG